GTGAAAAAATAAATAAATTATAAAGTGGATCAGCTGGGTTTTTTTTCCCTCTAAATAGATTAGATTTTTTCTTTAATTTGAAAATGATTGCCATGTCTTTATTGGTTGAGACAGCCAAACAAATTTGGGTGCATGTCAATATACATGGCATATCATTGATATTTGATCCATTGATTAAACATTAAAATGACTCATCAAATATTATGTTCAACATGTTTCACGTTTAATATCATAAAAAATTGACTCATTTCTAACATTTTTTGGTGCAAAGGGAGGAGGAGAAATGAGAAATTATGGGATAACACTACAAGGCCACCTTGGATCGATACTCGATAGCCAAAGATGCCGTTAAGAATGGCTCGAAACGTACACCTATATATAAAGTTTTTCTTTTTTTGGATGTACATTTTATTTAAAATATTTTTAATCCTTTAAATAAAAATAAAAATCGTTAAATAAAAATTGTAAAATATTATAAAAGTTTTGTATATAATAATGGTTAACTATTCTATTAATGTGGATAGTTATCCCGAAACACGAATGTTTTTCTCTCATTAATATCAATAGTGTTTACAATAATTTCGTTCATGAAACGTGAATAAATATTGCGGTCAAAGTTATTTTATTTTAATTTATGTATAAATTCATTTTAACTTAAAGACAAATTAAATATTTTATTTTTTATTCTATCTTTAAGAGCTTAGTTTTAAAGTAATTTATGCAAATATTTTCTTACCTTTGGCTTCCTCGTTCCACAAATTTGTCGGTTTGAAAACTTACAATCAAACTAATAAAATGTTAATCTCATTCAAAAATAACATCGCCATTGTAATTGCTTTCGATAATCTTAATATATATTACTAAAGATTTAAGAATCGGGTTCTCTTTTATAAGCTCCCAAAATGTTGTAAGTACGTATCCAACTGGCAATAAAAAACTTGAATGTTGAAAAGAAAAAAAAATTCTAAAAAAACAACTCATGAAGAGAAAAATAGAAGTTGTCTTAATCATCGGGAATATTATATCCAAAATCCGTAATGAAATTCTCCAACGACCGGTAAAGAGTTATCCGAGCAACCAAACAGGCATGTGAAATCGTAGTAGTTGTTATCCCAAACTCACATCAACCAACAATGTGAACGGAACTCTCAAGTAATTTAAATAATTTTTAAAATTAATAGTTCTTGCTTATAATTAAGACTAGAGGTAACATTACTTAAGTTTGATATATATTTTGTCACAGTTAATATAATTAAAAAAATATTTAAATACAAATAATTTATTGATAATCAACACAAGAATTTCACCATGATCGTCTCAATAAGTTGGAATTGACATCGGTAGATTTCAATGGATCGAGCAACTTTATAGTATAACTACAAAAAATATGCAATTTAGCGACCACCAAAATCGGTCGTTAAATTGCAAAAACTGATCGTTATTTATCTTAGCAACCGAATTTAATCAGTCGCTAAAATCCTGGTCGCTAAGCTATTTAGCAACTGAAAAATTTTCGGTCGCTAATTCGATCGCTAAATTGTTAAAATGATTGAAATGTATGAGACCAAATTAGTGACCGAATAAATCGGTCGCTAAATCGGTCGCTAAATATTTATTTTTTATTTTATTAAATTTTATAGATGTCGCAAATTTGGTCGCTATGAACCACTCATATTTGGCCTCTTAAGGATTTTATTTCACAATACTTAAGTTTTTAGCATGTTTTGTCCTTAATTACACAATTTTTGGAAACTTCCCAGAAGGTCACCCATCCCTACATTACTTCAAGTCAAACACGCTTAACTATGAAGTTCTTATGAGATAAGCTACCGAAAAGCAAATGTATGTTGTTAGTATAAGTAGTACAAATTAATTCATTTAAGTCAACCTCAACTATCCAATCTCATACTTATATTATTTTTGGATCCTTATCATTTTGGTATATCCGGACCGTTATAAATATATAATAATATATATAATAATTATATTACTAATAATAATAATTATATTATATTTAATTAATCTTTATTTATATATATACTTACTTTTATAATTAACAATCTACTTATTTCTATTTAAAATTAATTTTATGATACAATTTAAATTATTTATTATAAATTTAAAAGTTTAAGTAATAATTTATATATTTTAAAATGAGAAGGGTTATAATAACACTGGTATAACTTTTACTAAGTATTACATTGTTCAATAACTTTATATTAAATGTGAATTTTGTAAATCCAACCGTTAAATTGAAAGTTCATATCACTTTATATGTTTATATCAAGTTTTGTTAAAATTGAACAACAACTTGAAGGTAATCAAAGTGCTCATATTTTAATATATTTTGAAATGTATATATTACGTCAATTTTATTTTACAAGAATGAAGTATCAAATCATCTTGAATTCATATAAGATTTTGTATATATGATCTAAGAGTAAAAAACTTTCAATCTAACGATTGAATTTATAAAATTCACATTTAATATAAAGTTATTGAGCGATGTAATACTTAGTAAAAGTTATACCGATGTTATTATAACCCTTCTCTTTTAAAATATTATTTTTATAAATTAAATTTTAACATTTTAAATAAATTATTAATTAACTTAATATATTTATTCATCTTAAATCTAAGATATAAAATTCAAAAAATGTATTTATCCTTGTTTTATTTTCTAATTATCAACCATTAATAAAATACTAATTTAAAATTTAAATATAAAAATTCATTTAAAAATAAAGTTATCATAAGTTAGAAATATATATTATAAATATGGATCAAAATAAATAAGAAATTTTAAAACTCATATACTCTAATTAAAAAATTGCCTAAAAATTCAATTGTAAAAAAAAAAACCTCTAAATATTTTTTCACATAAATAACTATTGGTATTAATTATGTAGGAGTGCATATAAATATTTTTTTTAATATAAATTAATGTCTTGCTCTTACAAAAAAAAGAAAATGGGATTGATACTCAACAAAAATATTATCACTTTTAAGCAATTTATAATTTTTTTTAAGTTTTACTTAGTGACCCAATAGAATTTCGTCGCTAACTTAAACTAATATTTAGCTACTGAATAGAATTCGTTGCTAATTTTAACTAATATTTAGCGACCGAATTTAATTCCGTCGCTAAAAAAAATCAAAATTTCTGATTTAGCGACCAAATTAAATTCCGTCGCTAAAAAATCAAAATTTTTAATTTAGCGATCGAATTCAATTCTGTCGCTAAAAAATCCAAATTTCTAATTTAGCGACCGAATTGAATTTGGTCGCTAATTTTAACTAATACTTAGCGACCAAATGCAATGTCGTCCCTAATTTTAACTATTATTTAGCGACCGAATTAAATTTCGTCGCCAATTTTAACTATTATTTAGCGACCGAACTCAATTTTGTCGCTAAAAAAAATCAAAATTTATAATTTAGCGACCGAAATAGCGACCGAATTCAATTCTGTCACGAAATTTAATTGCTATTTAGCGACCGAATTCAATTTCGTCGCTAAATTTAACTATTATTTAGCGATCGAATTAAATTTCGTCACTAAAAAAAATCAAAATTTATAATTTAGCGACCGAAATAGCGACCGAATTCAATTCTGTCACGAAATTTAATTGCTATTTAGCGACCGAATTCAATTCTGTCGCTAATTTTAACTAATATTTAGCGACCAAATTAAATTCTGTCGCTAAAAGAATCAAAATTTATAATTTAGCGACTGAAATACAGACCGAATTTAATTTCGTCGCTAAAAAAATTAAAATTTATAATTCAGCGATCGAAATAGCGACCGAATTTAATTCCGTCGCTAAAAAATCAAAAAAATTTATTTAGCGACCAATTTTCTAACGACGACTTATTTTGGTTGCTAAATCAGTCGCTAAATAGCGACTGATAAACTTCGGTCGCTATTTTGCAATTTTCTAGTAGTGATAATGAGTTATTTATATTGACAGGAGTAAACATGTTTTTATATATGTCACTGATTCATCTAATGAAAGTTCGAGTAAATTGAGCTTTGAAATTTATGAAACACTTTCTTTCTCATGTGATCTGAATTGCATGAAGAAATAAAGTAAACAAATACATAAACAAAATAGTCTTAAAAGAATATAGAAAATTATTATTATTATTATTATTATTATTATTATTATTATTATTGATGTTATGTTTGAAGCAAATGAAAATGGATAGAGGGAAGCTAGAAGGATATAAATTAACATTCATCTTAATCTTTCCTCAGTTATCCCTTTCCACCTTCTATTTTTCTTTTCCTATTTCTTCCGCTCCACAGTCCACACCCTCAAATGAGATATATCTTTATCATACAAGATATACTGACATGTACACACTTTTTTTTATAAAAAAAAAATATTAATCAGTAAAGTATAGGTTCGAATTTATCCTTCAAAATAATCTATATGCCTTGATTGCTACTCATACAAGATTTACCGACATGTAGAAATATTGATTAGTAAAATTATAGTTTCAATTTAATTTTATCCTTCAATAGGAGATATAGGGACCTTTATACATCGTTACTCTTACAAGATTTTCTGACATGTACAAACCTTTTTTTTTATTATAAATATTAATTAGAAAATTATAGTTTCAATTTTATCCTTGGAAGCGACATATATGTACCTTTCTATGTCATTACTCATACAAGACTCGCTCATTATTTTGTTTAGAAATATTAATTAGTATTTGTCATTTTGTGGTTGGGAGGCAGACGACGAGGCCAATTTACAGTAGTGATTTCTACACGCAGAAACAATAATATATATTCAGTATTCACGTATGAATTTACTAGTTCCAGCGCGTTTTTCTTTCCTTTTATATTCATTATATTTCTCTCTTTCTCTGTCGGTTTACACTTTACATTACGTACCCCTGTAGACTTACCGAGTGTTCAACCATCCTTTTCAGAAAGAAAATAAAAATAAAAAAGTGTAGCCTATTCCTATAGTATACTATTCAGAGAGAAAACAATTTGTTTAGGTGGGAGAGAGAGAGTCCTTAGTCTAAGGTGATGAAATCCTTTGGTCTATATAAGCACGCTAGCAGAAACTCACACTCATATTCCAACTTAATCATTTCTCTCTTCCTATAATTCAAGTTATATCAAGATGACTGAGGGAAAGATAGTTGAATCCGCAGAAGCTCTTAAAAGTCTGGAGGACTTGGATCCTCAGAAGAAACCCAAACGAAACAAGTATGCCTTTGCATGTGCTATGTTGGCTTCCATGACTTCCATCTTGCTTGGCTATGGTCAGTACATGTATATATATATATATATATATTCATTTTCATTCCTAGCTATGCATATATATTGAGTGCATGAGAAGATTAATTAGTAAAGAATTTAAAAAGTGAATTGAATTGGTGGTAAGTATATATATATATGTTACAGATATTGGCGTGATGAGTGGAGCAGCCATATACATACAAAGAGACCTGAAAGTGTCGGACGTGAAAATCGAGATCCTTCTTGGAATCATCAACCTCTACTCTCTGATAGGGTCATGCCTGGCCGGCAGAACCTCGGACTGGATAGGGCGGCGTTACACCATCGTCTTCGCCGGCGCAATCTTCTTCGCCGGAGCCATTCTCATGGGCTTCTCCCCCAACTACTCCTTCCTCAGGTGCGCCCGCTTCGTCGCCGCCATTGGCATCGGCTACGCCCTCATGATTGCCCCCGTCTACACCGCCGAGGTCTCACCGGCCTCCTCTCGCGGATTCCTCACTTCCTTCCCCGAGGTTTCTTTCTTAAATTTTACTACTACAGTACTACGTACCTAGTATTATATATATATATATATATATATATATGTTTTTCTCAACTTCAATTATACATGTAAATAGGTTTTTATCAACGGAGGGATATTACTCGGATACATATCCAACTACGCATTTTCCAAGCTCACACTGAAGCTAGGTTGGCGAATGATGCTTGGAATAGGTGCAATTCCTTCTGTGCTCCTAGCGGTGGGAGTGTTGGCGATGCCGGAGTCTCCGCGGTGGCTTGTCATGAGGGGTCGTTTGGGAGACGCAACAAAAGTGCTTAACAAAACCTCCGACACGAAGGAAGAAGCTGAACTAAGACTAGCAGATATCAAACAAGCCGCAGGAATCCCGGAGAGTTGCAACGACGACGTCGTTGAAATCGCTAAAAAGAGCACTGGTGAGGGCGTATGGAAAGAGCTGTTCCTCTATCCCACACCCGCCGTTCGTCACATCTTAATCGCCGCCCTCGGGATTCACTTTTTCCAACAAGCCTCGGGTGTAGACGCCGTCGTTTTGTACAGCCCCAGGATCTTCGAGAAGGCCGGGATCACCAACGACACGGATAAGCTTCTGGCGACCGTGGCCGTTGGATTCGTTAAGACAATCTTCATATTGGTGGCAACGTTTATGTTGGACCGCGTGGGTCGTCGTCCGTTGCTATTGTCTAGTGTCGGGGGCATGGTGCTGTCGCTGCTCACGCTCGCTATCAGCCTCACGATCATTGATCACTCGGACAGGAAACTAATGTGGGCCGTTGGATTGAGCATAGCGATGGTGCTGGCTTACGTGGCCACGTTTTCGATCGGTGCGGGGCCCATCACGTGGGTGTACAGCTCCGAAATATTTCCGCTGAGGCTGAGGGCGCAGGGTGCGGCCGCGGGGGTTGTGGTGAACAGGACCACAAGTGGGGTTATCTCAATGACCTTTTTGTCCCTCACCAAAGCGATTACTATTGGTGGAGCTTTCTTCCTCTATTGTGGGATTGCCTTGGTTGGGTGGATATTCTTTTTCACCGTGCTTCCTGAAACGCGGGGTAAAACGCTTGAGGAAATGGGAGGGGCTTTTGGTAAATTTAGCGCAGCTTCCAAGGATGGAGACCATGCGAATGCCCAAGTCCACCTACGGACCCATGTCCAAACTTAGACAAATGTGTCCCAACTTAGTAGTCTAGTCATTTCGTGTGTTTTTACTTTTTATACTAGTTTTCCAAATCAAAATCACTAAGTTAAAGTCACAAGACTTGTGTATTAAAAAAAAAAAAAACGAATGACAAAGGTTAAAAAGTGTGTTCTACCTCTATTTTTTTTCCAGATATTTGCTTCAATATATATAATTATAAATTTAAGAATGAATTTTTTTCAGAGATATTATGACTAAAACCATTATTTTTAGGTAAAGAAGCACAGAGGTACATATAGAAATGACACATTATAGAGAGAAATGAGAATACAAGTTAATGTTTGTAACATAGCTTTTAAAAATTAGTATAATTATTAAAAGCAAGTCTTTTAATTATAGAATCATTTTAAAAAGTACAGACAAGGAGTGAAAATGGTTTTATGAATGTAAGAAGTAGGGAAAAGGAAAAAACTGTAATGGAAAGAATAGAGAAAGAAGAGGAAATAATTATAAGAAAATGAATAACTATTTTAGATTGTTAGATTTAGAAAAAAGAAAGAAAAAGAAAAGCAGGAGTTAAGTTTTATTTTCATTTGTTTGGTTAGGTAAAAAAAAGAAATTAAAATGAAATTTTTTATATAAAAAATTATATGATAAAGTAAAATATAATCTGTCTTGTTATTGGAAATATAATGTATCGTGTAAAATGACATGTTGTGTGAACCACTTGAGTGACATTGTCTATGAATTGATATATTTTATATTTTAAAATGAGTAAAAAGAAGGCCCAATTCGACTTGGTGGGCCAAAGAAAACCCTACTAGAGGCTGGAGGGCCTACTGGACAGGGAAAGTAAAGAAAACTCCACTTGTCCAACCATTCAAGGATAAGTGTTTTGTTTGGTTGCAAATTTTTGCCTTTCTCATTTTCTATTTATTGTGTTCGGAAATCCTTGCGGGTCTTATAAAAGTATAGGTGGTCGGCCTATTTTTCCTGTGCATTTGATGTAATTATAACATGATTGCTACGAGCAAAGTTAGGATGACCTTATATTTAGTTGTTTCCATTTTCAATGATTTGGAAGCCACTAATTTATTGTTTCTTCAAATGATCAATAAAGTGAATAAAGTAATTATACTTAGGAGTGATAAAATGGGTTAATTTGTCCCGTTTTGGCCTAACCTACCAATGACTTGTTAAAAATAGATTGGGTCGAATTGACTCATAATTAAAAAATGGATCATGATATATACACCTTTTTTTTTTTATAAGTACACATCCTTCTTTTAAAATTTTTTTATAAAATATTATAATTTTACACTTTCAACTTTCAATTTACTATTTTCTTCTTCTTATTCACACATTTTTTTTTTTCTCTTTCAATTTTCACATGCTACCAAAATAGGTGAAACGAAGGAAAAATAAGAAGGTGCATGTAAAAATTGAAAAAAAAAAGAGAAGGAAAGATATGTAATAAAAAAAAGTACTAAATTAAATGTTGTGAATGTAAAATTAAAAAATTTAAAACAAAAAATTAAAAAATTAAAAAATTTTAATTATTTTTTTTAAAAGGAGGTGTACTTATAGAAAAAAGGAGGTATATATATCATGAACCTTAAAAAATGGGTTAAAAATGTTAATTCATTCCGCCTAAATGTGAGCTAATGGGTCAGCAGGCTAGCCCGCATTACATTAAAAGAATACAAAAAAAAAGTTACAAAAAAATTACCAACAGATTGATGAACTTAACAGGTTGACTAACCAATGAATCGACTTCCAAGTCACAACCCACTTTGTCACTCCTAATTATAATCCGTGCCATAATATTAGTGACTATTATTCAATTTAAAAATGTTGAGATCTGTTTTTTTATTTTATAAATATTTATCATGTATCATTGATTTGAATAATCCAACTAGAAAGCCTAAGAGGCATTGTTTATTTATTATTTGTAATAACAATCCTAACAATAATAATAGTAAAAAGGAGTGGTGGTGCCCTTATTTATTCTATCCATGTTAACAGTCTCACCTCAAAGAATCGGCTTTATTCATATTTTAATTTCTTTGTTTCTCATGTAAATTTGCGGACACGGAATAAAAGGACTTGAAACTTGTGCGACAACTGTGACTGAAGATGAAAATTGGTGGTAAAAAATAAAACAGAAAAGGAATTTAAATGTTAAACTTAATTTGTGAAAATTATCTCATATTAGTATATTAAAAAATGAATTTAATTTTTCCTTGTCATTTTATTTTCTTAAAATACTTATAGAGATATTTATTGGAGCTGAAATAATATTTAATTAGGCACATTGCTTAAACCATCCCATTGACCTTTCTTTATTTAAACAAATAATGGGGTTCTTCAGTTCTTTGTCTTGTGGCAAAGTGCCAGTTGTGAAGTTGATTAGCAATAAAATTATCCGCCACTGCGACAAACAAACGATGTTCAAGTTGTAGTTGTAGGGTATGGTGATATTTCTTAATAATTTGCAAGCACTAAGAAGCAAGCATGTGGTATTTGTCTTGAGAATGAGATGCAGCTGGAAACTGGAAAGATCACTATGCATCATCTAACAGTCAACAGTGTCTCTAGATATTTTAATTAATCTTCTTTTTTTGGGTAATGTAGACAGGATATTTTAAGCATAATATATGTGCTCTCCCATCGGATTAAACTATAAATTGTAGGATAATGTTTGGCTACATTTGCAGGTAAACCAGGATACCCTTTTTCCATCCTCAAATTTGGTTTTTCTTAATTTTTATTTTCCAAAAATTTACCGGCAGGTAGAAAGGAAAGAG